ACCATCACCATCATCATCATCGCCATCGCCATCGTCATCGTCATCATCATCATCATCATCATCATCATCATCATCATCATCATCATCATCATCATCATCATCATCATCATCATCGTCATCATCATCACCATCACCATCACCATCACCATCATCATCATCATGCTGGGGGCGAGGGCCCGACGTCCGGCCGGGGCAGCGCCTTGAGGTACTCCTGAGCACCGGCGGCGCGCGCTTTCGCGCGGGGGCCGGGGCAGCAGAGGAGCGCGCCGTCGCCGAAGGGCGGGTCTGGCCCGAGAACGGCACGGGCAGAAGGGTCGTCCGGCCTGACTGTGCTGTCAAGCAGCCTCGTGCCAACCCCCGGCCAGAAGGGGAGGAGGAGGAGGATGAGGAAGAGGAGGAGGAGGAGGAAAACCAGTGTGAACCCTAGAGCCATCAACGATGTTGGAATACACCCTCCCTCCAAGCTTCCTCTCCATAGGCCCCTGCAACGGTTCATTTCCATTGATGGAACTGCCTCGTTGGAAGACAAACGCCTGCAGACCCTGAAGCATGCCAAAACATGGTTCTCTGGATTCCAATGCCACAGATCAACCTGATTGAGGGCGGCCCGTTTTCAAAATGTAGCTCTCGCCTTAGCGCCGCGCATTTTCTTTTTTCGAAAATTGCAGCAGTTCCACGGATTGAGGGCGGTTCCTTTTCAAAATGTGGCTCTCGCCTTAGCGCCGCGCACATTGCACGAACTTCGCGGATTGAGGACAACCCGTTTTCAAAAATCGGCTCTCGCCTTAGCGCCGCGCACTTTACGGATTGAAGGCGGTTCCTTTTCAAAGTGTGGCTCTCGCCTTAGCGCCGCGCACATTCGTTTATTTAAATGCGAGAGTTTCACGAATTGTCATGATCGACGTACCAGACATGGCGTCTTGGAAGGATTCAGGATCTGGCGGGGAGGAATCATTTATAAGGAATGGAGGAGGAGGACGAGGAGGAAGAGGAGGAAGAAAGAGGAGGAGGAGGAGGAGGAGGAGGAGGAGGAGGAGGAGGAGGAGGAGGAGGAGGAGGAGGAGGAGGGGGGGAGGTGGAAGGGGAGGAGGGGGCGGAAAAAGGGGAGGAGGAGTGAGGGGGGGAGGCGAGGAGGAGGGAGCGGGACTCACGCGCCCAAAGTTCAGCAAGGCACGAGGGTGCAAACCCGACTTGTCTTGCTGCTGCTCCCAGGGGGGGGCCTGCGATCAGGGGAAGGCTGCAGTACCGCTCAGCGATGCGTGCTGACAATCGAGCCTGCAGGGTGGCCCCCTGCCCCCCCATTCCCCTCCTCCTCCTCCTCCTCCTCCTCCTCCTCCTCCTCCTCCTCCTCCTGCTCTCTCCTCCTCATCCCTCCTCCTCCTCCTCCTCCTCCTCCTCCTCCTCCTCCTCCCTCCTCCTCCTCCTGCTCCTCCCCCTCTTCCTCCTCCTCCTCCTACTCCTCCTCCTCCCTCCCTCCTCCTCTCCTCCTCCTCCTCCTCCTCCTCCTCCTCCTCCTTTCCTCCTCCTCATCCTCCTCATCCAAAACTACACAATATGAATACTACTCTCCTCTCTCCCCTGGTGGCTTCCGGGGAATGTCTGGCCCCCCTCCGCTTACCGGTTTTTTACATACTGGATTCCCGGGAATTGGGTTTTCCCTTGAGATGTTTTTCAAAGTGCTGCTCTCGCTGAAGCACTGGCCTCATTCTCGGGTTCCCGATCGTTCCTAATCGTGCTCCCGCTGCAGCGCTGATCTCGTTTCCGCGCTTCCGCTCGTTCCGAATCGTGTTCCCGCTGCAGCGCTGGCGTCATTATTTCGAGTGCCATGCCCCGGCATGGTTTTCGGTCCTTCCAAAAAGGCCCCAGAATCTAGAAAATGGCCCCCCGAAAAAATAATCGGAAGTGATTACACATTCGGTGTCGGTTCGTTGATTTTCTCGGCCGCAAAACCCCCTCACTTTAGGGCGTAGCCACGCCATGCTATGTCAGGCTACACGTCCTCATTTCCGCGTTTCTGCGATTGTTTTTTTTCAAAATGCTGCTCTCGCTGAAGCACTGGCCTCATTTTCGGGCTACCGCTCGTTCCGAATCGTGCTCCCGCTGCAGCGCTGGCCTCATTTCTGCGCTTCCGCTCGTTCCGACCGCTGCAGCGCCCGCGTCGTTATTTCGAGTGCCATGCCCCGGCATGGTTTTCGGTCCTTCCAAAAAAGGCCCAAAAATCTAGAAAATGGCCCCCCGAAAAAATAATCGGAAGTGATTACACATTCGGTGTCGATTCGTTGATTGTCTCGGCCGCAAAACACCCTCACTTTAGGGCGTCGCCACGCCATGCTATGTCAGGCTACACGTCCTCATTTCCGCGTTTCTGCGCTCGGCTTGTTTTTTTCAAAATGCTGCTCTCGCTGAAGCGCAGGCCTCATTTTCGGGCTGCCGCTCGTTCCGAATCGTGCTCCCGCTGCAGCGCTGGCCTCATTTCCGCGCTTCCGCTCGTTCCGAATCGCGCTCCCGCTGCAGCGCTGGCGTCGTTATTTCGAGTGCCAGGCCCCGTCATGTTTTTCGGTCCTTCCAAAAAGGCCCCAAAATTTAGAATGGCCCTCCGAAGAAATGGTCGGAAATGATTACACATTCGGTTTCGATTCGTTGATTGTCTGGGCCGCAAAAGCCCCCCCCACACCCTGGGGCGTCGCCACGCCATGCTATGTCATGCTACGCGTTGATCCTCGACACCAGGCTATGCAATGTAGTGCTATGCCATGCTACGACTTCCGATTGCGCGAATAGAGAGGAGATCAACGCCATGGTAAGGGATGGGGGGGAGGGGGGGAGGGCGTCAGATATGACGCGAGCGCACCTACCTTGCCCTCCCTCCTCCCCCTCCTCCCCCTCCCCCTCCCCTCCTCCTCCTCCCCCTCCTCCTCCTCCTCCTCCTCCTCCTCCTCCCCCTCCTCCTCCTCCCCCTCCGCAATTACACAATATGAATACTACTCTATTCTCTCCTGAGGACGTCCGGAAAATGTTCGGCCCCCCTCCGCGTACTGTTTTTTACACACAGGATTCCCGGAAAAGGGATTGTCGCTTGGATAATTTCAAAATGCTGCTCCCGCTGGAGCGCTGGCCTCATTTTCGGGTTTCCGCTCGTTCCGAATCGTGTTCCCGCTGCAGCGCTGGCCTCATTTCCGCGCTCCCGCTCGTTCCGCATCGTGGTCCCGCTGCAGCGCTGGCGTCATGATTTCGAGTGCCATGCCCCGGCATGGTTTTCGGTCCTTCCAATAGGCCCCAAAATCTAGAAAATGGCCCCCGAAAATAACCATCGGAAGTGATTACACATTCGGTGTCGACTCGGTGATTTTATGGGCAGCAGAAGCCCCCATACCACAGACCCTGGAATCCGGAGGTTGGACCGGCCCCAGCGAGGGGGCCACCGTCCGCGCCTGCACGCGGGAAGAAGAGATCGAGTGGGGAATCGAGAATCTGCGAGGAAGGCGTAGAAGGCTCGTGGTAAATCCATGGAGGATTCTCCGTACTTGCCCGTAGGTTCGAGGAGAAACTCGATTCTGGGATCACCCACTTCTGTAGTCGATCACGTTACCCCAGAGGAAGGAGGTAAGCAAGATCCCAAGGCGGAAGGTCGGCCTGGCCCACGGCGGAAGGGCCACACACGGCGACGGCCCCTGCCGCCTCGCTCCTTGCCACGGGAGGACGGCCCTCAGCGTGGACGAGGGGGGGGATCATGCCGCCCGATGCGCGGGTGGCATCAATGCCTCTTCTCGGCGGCGAGCGAGGGGGGGAAGTGAGAGGGAGAAGGCCTTCTCAGCAGGCGGCGGGACTTCTCAGAAGCTCTCGCGCCTTCTGAGAAGACTTCTGTGCCTGCGGGGAAGGCTCAGGAAACTTCTCAGAAGCCCCAAGGGCTTCCGAGCCTTCTGCAACGGCCCCCCCCCCCGCTCGCCGCCGATCTCCCTCCAGCAGTGAAAGGGTAAAAGGGCCCGTAGAGCGGGAGAGCCCGCTCTGGCGCGACGCCTGGCCGCGGAGCATTTAGCGTCGGGAGCGTCGAGACGCAGCTGGGACGGCCCACAGCCGGAGGGCAAGGGGGCACAGCCACAACTGCCAGGAGGAGGAGCCAGGTGAGCCGTGGCCGCCGCCGACGAACGGTCCACGCCACGAGGGACCTCGTCGCCGCCGTGCCGCTCGCGGCGGCCATCCCCCGGTGATGGACCGCGGTCGTGCCCAGAGCACGTGTCCTGCACGAGGTCCTCCGGCCTGGGCGGAGGAGCCTGGGCCGATGGGTCCTGGGCACCGTGCCTTGGATAGTCACGACAGCACCCGAGGATCATCGCTGAGGCGCTCGATGGGCGTCTCTTCGTCGGGCCGCCCGGTGAGCGGTGCGATCCTCGGAGCGCGGGGCGAGGGTGGGGCGCCAGAAGCCCCGAAGATGGAGCCCCCAAGGGGGCTCACGGACGCCCGCGGGGGAGGCCCCCTCGAGAGGATCGGCGGCAGAGGGAGGAACGGCCGCAGGCCCAGGAGAGATCGGTCTCGGCGCCCGATCCGATCTACGATCGGCCGCGCCGGCCGAAGCCGGAGGGGGGGGGGGGGGAACAGGCGAAAGGACCAGGAGGGCTGGGGGGCCGCGGGCGGCCCCCCGGGGGCCAGGGCCACCGAGAGGTCCCCTCCCCGAGAACGGATTGGCTGGGGGGAGGGGACCCGCAGGCTGGGGTCGTCGGTGGGCCCTCCTCAACGGGCCTCCTCGGAGGCCCATCCTGGGAGAGAGTTTCCGCGGCCGCCGTCATGGGAGCTCAGTCAACGAACTATGACCCCCCCAGAGAGGGCGCCTAGAGACGGCTTAAGGACGCGGCACGGGCGCGGACCCCCCACGGAGACCCAGGCGCGCGCGCGCGGCCAAGAGCGGAGCCCAGCTCAGGGCGGGAGCCCTTGAGCGAGAGGATACCCCATACGACCTTGAGCCAAAATGGCCACGGACACACAAATACACACACACAGTGCGCGGGCGCTCCGCGAGGGACCCCCTGTACTCGGTGAGCTCGACGACCCGGTCGGCGAGCGTGTGGATGTTGGTCAGGTCCTCGGCCGTGATCTCGGTGCCCTGGCGGGGGCCAGGGGCGAGGCGCGGGGCACTCGGCGGCTCCCCGTGTCACCCTGCGCCGTCGTCGTCGTCGTCGTCGGCGTCGTCGTCGTCGGCGTCACCGTCACCGTCACCGTCGTCGTCGTCGTCGGCGGCGTTGGCATCACCGTCACCGTCGTCGTCGTCGTCGTCGTCGTCGTCGTCGGCATCGGTGTCGTCGTCGTCGTCGTCGCCGTCACCGTCGTCGTTGTCGTCGTCGTCATTGTTGTCGTCGTCCTCCGTCGTGGCGGCACACAGCTCGGAAGCACCGCCGCGCAGTGCACACCATCGAGGGCGTCCAAGAGGGGGTTCGCAGAGCATCGCCCGAACGGGGGGGCCGCGAGATCCACCGACCGAGACCTCGGTGCCCTGGCGGGGACCTGGCGCCGAGGCGCGGGGCGCTCCGGGCCGCCGTGGGGGTGATCAGATCAGGAAAGGGCCAGGTGTGGCAGGGGTCGCCACTTGGCCTCTGGCGGATGTGCCCGAGAGGGTGCCAGGAATACAGGGGGGTGCGCATCGTGGCCCGAGGCGTGTGCGCGGACGAATGGTGGTCAGGAGACGTGCTGCAGAAGAAGAGGGTGCCGTGAAATCTGGGAGGTATCGTGCCCCCCCAAAGATAACAACGACAACTGCAACGAAAACAACGATAACGATCACAACGAAACAACGATCACAACGATCACAACGATCACAAAGATCACAACGATAACAACGAAAGCAACGATAACAACGATAATGGCAACAACGATCACAACGAGAACAACGATACCCACCCCGCCCAGTCGTCACCCCTCGTGGCCTCACCCGACAGCTGGGCGCCCGACGGCGGGGCACCGTGAGGCCCACCCAGGCGCCCACGGGGCACTGCCCTTCAGGGTCGTGGTCGTGGTCGTGGTCGTGGTGGTGGTCGTGGTGGTGGCGGTGGTGGTCGTGGTCGTGGTGGTGGTCGTGGTGGTCGTGGTGGTGGTGGTGGTCGTGGTGGTGGTCGTGGTCGTGGTGGTGGTCGTGGTCGTGGTGGTGGTCGTGGTCGTGGTGGTGGCGGTCGTGGTGGTGGCGGTCGTGGTAGTGGTCGTCGGCGCCGACATCGTGGTGGTGGTCGTGATCGTGATGGTGGTCGTGGTCGTGGTCGTGGTGGTGGTCATGGTGGTGGCCGTCGGCGCCGACATCCCCCGAGAACCAGCGTCGCGGAAATATTGCAGAGTCGTTAGAGATCACGACCTGGGCCCTAGGCACCATCTGCGGCATTTCTCTGGCCGGAACGATCAGTGAAAGGACTAAGACCGGGCGAGAACGCCCAGTATAAAAAAATTGCGACGCTCGGCTCTCAGGGAACGTCGTCGCGGGCGTGGTGGTCGGCATCGTGGTGGTCGCCGTGGCCGTGGCCGTCGTCGTCGTCATCGTCGGCGTCAGCGTCACCGTCATCGTCGTCGTCGTCGTCGTCGGCAGCGTCGGCGTCACCGTCACCGTCGTCGTCGTCGTCGCCGTCGTCGTCGCCGTCATCGTCGTCGGCGTCGTCGTCGTCACCGTCGTCGTCGTCATCGTCATCGTCGTCGTTTTCGGCGTCACCGTCACCATCGTCTTCGTCGTCGTCGGCAATGTCGGCATCCTCGTCGCTGTCGTCATCGTCGTCGTCGGCATCGTCGTCGTCGGCATTACCGTCAGCGTCGTTGTCGTCGTCGGCGGCGTCGTCACCGTCCTCGTCGTCATCGTCGTCATCGTCGGCGTCGCAGTCGCCCTCGTCGTCGTCGTCGGCGCCATCATAATCGGCATCACCGTCACCGTCGTCGTCGTCGTCGTCAGAGACGTCGGCGTCGTCGTCGTCGTCGGCGTCGGCTGCGTCGTCGGCGTCGTCGGCGTCGGCCTGACCGTTACCGTCGTCGTCGTCGTCGGCGGCGGCGTCGTCGGCATCATCCTAATCGGCATCACCGTCACCGTCGCCGTCGTCGTCGTCAGAGGCGTCGGCGTCGTCGCCGTCGTCGGCGTCGGCTTCGTCGTCGGCGTCGTCGGCGTCGTCGGCGTCGGCCTGACCGTCGCCGTCGTCGTCGTCGTCGGCGGCGTCGGCGTCGTCGCCGTCGGCGGCGGCGTCGTCGTCGTCGGCGGCGGCGGCGTAGGCGTCGTCGGCGTCGTCATCGGGGGCGTCAACGTCGGCGTCGTCGTCGTCGTCAGCGTCGGCGTCGTCCTCATCGTCGTCGGCGGCGTCGGCGTCGTCGTCGCAGTCGTCGGCGTCGTCATCGGCGGCGTCGTCGTCGTCGGCGTCACCGTCACCGTCACCGTCGTCGTCGTCGTCGTCGTCGTCGTCGTTGTCGTCGGCGTCGTCATCGCCGTCGTCGTCGTCGTCGGCGTCGTGGGCCCCGTCGTCATCGTCGTCGTCGTCGGCGGCGCCGTCGTCGTCGGCGTCGTCGTCGTCGTCGGCGTCGTCGTCAGCGTCGTTGTCGTCATGGTGGGCCTCGCCGTCGTGGTCGTCAAAGGCGTCGTCGTCAGCGTCGTCGTCGTCGTCGGCGTCGTCGTCGTCGACGGCGTCGTCATCGTTGGCGTCACCGTCACCGTCGCCGTCGTCGTCGTCGTCATCGTCGGAATCGTCGTAGTCGGCGTCACCATCACCGTCATCGTCGTCGTCGTTGTCGTCGGCGTCGTCGTCATCGCCGTCGTCATCGTCGTCGGCGTCGCCGTCGTCGCCGTCGTCGTCATCGTCGTAGTCGTCGGCGTCCTCGTCTGCGTCGTCGTCGTGGGCAGCGTCGGTGTCGTCGTCGGCGTCGTCATCGTCGTGGTCGTCGTCGCCGTCGTCGGCAGCGTCACACTGCACCCGTCACCGTCGCCGTCGGCGTCGTCGACGTCGTCGGCGTCGTCGTCGGCGGCGTCGGCGGCGTCGTCGTCAGCGTCGGCGTCGTCGTCGGCGTCGTCTTCGTCGTCAGCGCTTCCGTCGTCGGCGTCACCGTCGTCGTCGTCGTTGTCGTCGTCGTCGGCGGCGTCGTCGACGTTGTCGTCATCGTCGTCAGCATCGTCGTCGTCAAAGTCGGCGTCGTCGTCGGCGTCGTCGTCACCGTTACCGTCGTAGTCGTCGGCATTACCGTCATCGTCGTCGTCACCGTCATCGTCGTGGTCGTCAGCGGCGTCGTCGTCGTCGTCGGAGCCGGCGTCGGCGTCACTGTCGTCGTCGGTGGCGTCGGCAGCTTCGGCGGCGTAGGCGTCATCGTCGTCAGCGGCTCATCGTCGAAGGCGCCGTCGACGTCGGCAGCGTCGTCGTCGGCGTCACCGTAACCGTCGTCGTCATCGTCGTCGTCGGCGGCGTCGTCGTCGTGAGTATCGTCGTCGTCATCGTCGGCGGCGTCCCTGTCGACGTTGTCGTCGTCGGCGTCGTCGGCGTCGCCGTCGTTACCGTCATCGTCGTCGTCACCGTCATCGTCGTGGTCGTCAGCGTCGTCGTCGTCGGCGGCGGCGTCGGCGTCGTCGTGGTCGTCGTCGGCGTCGTTGTCGTCGTCGGCGTCACCGTCACCGTCACCGTCGTCGTCGCCGCCGTCGGCAGCGTCGCACCGTCACCGTCACCGTGGTCGTCGTCGGCGTCGTCGTCGTCGGCGGCGTCCCGTCAACCTCGTCGACGTCTTCGGCGTCGTCGGCGGAGTCGTCGTCGGCCGCGGCGTCGTGGTCGTCGTCGTCGTCGTGGCCAGCCAGTCGCACGCGGGGGCCGCCGCGCCATGGAGGTCTCGGCCGCGGCCCGCACCTCGGGCGGCGGGCCCGCGGCGGAGGCAGAAGGTGGGTGCCTCGGATCCAGACGACGGATCGGATGAAGGCCACTCGCCTGCCTCCTCCTGTCAGCCTTTTTCTCGCTCCTCCTTTTCCCCCTCCCCCTCTCCCCTTCCCCCGCCGTTTTCCTTTTTCCGCCTCCCCCCTCCCCCTCCCACTCCCTTCCTCCTCTTCCTCCTCCTTCTCCGAGCGATAGCGCGATTGTCACATGAACCGTCAGGAAATCCACGGCAAGAGAAGGCGCGGCGTCATAATAAATTGCGAAGAAGTCCCACGCGAGACTGCGATTGGGAAACAAAACTGTGAGGAAGTATCCGACGGGAGCCGTTGTGGTTGTTGTTGTTGATTTCTGAAGAATAATTATTGGTGATCCCCCCCGTCCGGCGCACATTTTTTCGATCGAAATGCCCTTCCCGGGGCTCGCACTCTGATTTCTTTAATCTGGGAAAATCTTGAGGGTCAAGCTGTGTCGTTGGCCCCCGGTTTACAACAAGAACAACAAAAACAAAAACAACAAGAACAACAACAACAACAACAACAACAACAACAACAACAACAATCATTTAAGACTGGGGACACTCCGTTCTCACCAGTGCCAGGGTTTTCATAGGAGGCGGGCAATACCCCCACTTTGTGGGGGGGCCGGTTCAAGCTCTACCAAATTTCCAAACGACTCTTCGCCACCACCCACACCCAGCTTCCCGCCCTATGACGTTCGGACACTTCACTTCGTGGCATGCGGACGACCGTGGCTACTATTCAGGGCCCCGCGGCCGACGACGACGGCGTGCGCGCGCGAAGAAAAAACGAATGTGTCCCGCATGGTATTATTTGACAGGGATGATGGCCCTGGCAGGTGCGCAACCGTTGTCGCAGAAGTTCGAAAAAGTTGCTCGCAAAAGCCCGTTTGACAGAAATGTTTAAAAAGTGTTGGGTTTCCTACGAATCCGCAAGAGCGCGCGGGATGAGATTTTGACATTTTTTTGTTGAAAAACCATTGGTTTTTTGATGTTTTTATGTTAAAATCGCTCCGAACACTAAGCTTTTGGAAGGATTTCGTCTTGCGCGCGCGAATGTCCACTTTACCTTATTTTTTGCAAGGGATTCTTGAAATTTGATTATATTAGAACAAGAAATGTCATTTTATAGTGTTTTTTGCAAGGGAAAACGGATTACAACAAAACAACCGGATCTGGATCACATCGTTTTACCTGAGACTTCCTCACGAAAATGATGAAAAT